GTAGAGTCAATGTACCTAAAGCGAACGGGCATTTCATAGATCTTCATTGTGACTGTAATATCTCTATAATTTTTCATTATAAAATAATTATTTTTATATCACGGGAAAGAAAACAAAATTCTGCATCTGCTCATATAAAAAAATTTTTTGTAGCTATAAGAATTGTTGAGTAATCAGCGGTAGAAAATTCAAAATTAAAAACGTTCGCTTTATGTGCAATGTTCCTAAAGCGAACGTCCAGCAAGAAAATGTCCTTAAAGCGAACGCGCCAGCAAAAAACAAGCGAAAATAAAAAGAGTACAATATTTATCTATTTCTGTTCACAGATTTCAATGAAATTTTATGAAATTTATATCATTCGATTCGTCATCTTTAACTCTATCATTCTCTAGCGGTTCAGCTTAATCGAACTTAATTTCCATTTTTTATTCTATTTATAAAAAAAAAACTTTCCGTTCGCTTTATGGATAATGCACATAAAGCGAACGCCCAGCAAGAAAATGTACATAAAGCGAACGCGCCAGCTATTTTAGCTGGAGATCAATCATCTTTTAGTATTTCGTTCATTTGGCATAGACAAACTTCAAAATTCACTTACACTTCCGCTGGCAAATCTCTTCAGAATTTTTATAGCTACAACATACTAGCGGTTCAACTAAAACAAATAAAAAATAAATTCTAAAATATGAAATTTCTTTGATCTGTACTATTGTAGGAAAAACTATGAAAAATTTTAGATGTATCTTTCTGATTCTGGTTAATAAGAATACAGGTAGGGCACAAATAAATAAACAGTGAATAGTGGAGTTATTTGTAAGGAAAACGAATTATCGATGTCATCAATTTCTAATTACTATAAAGCAAACGAGATTTAGCAGATGTTTATTTTTTCAAAGATGTGATCCTTCAAGCAGTAGATTTCATTGCTATTGCCATACGTAAAATGGCTTATTCTTTTGCTAAAAGAAAATTCGATTAGTAAAGTTTTTTGAATATTATGTTTAATCCTGAAAATATGTACTTTTCTTTCGATAATTAAATCAATTAAACGTTTTTTATTTCATAAAGAGTTGATGTCAAGAACATCTAGAATTTCAATGTATATAATACATATAGAAACAAAAGTATAAAACAGTTAGTCTTTTTTTATTGTTTTCTTTGTTTTTCGTGATGTTGTCTTGTTTCGATTCGCATTTGACTTTCCAGATTTGGATTTGGCAAGCTTCTGTTGTTCTTTTTGCTTGATTTCTTCAAAAAACGAGTCACTAGTAACAATTTCGCCGAATTTTCTTTGTTGTCGAACACGTGTACTTGGTGCTTTTGGTGCAGGTGACGATAGACGTGGTTCTGTGTTCAATAAGTTATTATAAACTGTTGCAGCAGCTGTTGCAGGAGTTGACAATTGTGGTAAACATAAATCTGAATCCGTAGATAAAGTAGCAGTTGATGAATTGTGAGAAGGTGAAATAGATAATGAAGATGAAGCCGGGATGGATGACAATGTCACATTATTCAATTCAGTATACATTCTTGATGATGAATTTACTAAAAATTCCTCATCTTCGTCATCATCGGTTTCATCTTATAAATGTAAAAAAAAAGAAATAATACAATTGTTCCTATAGTAGAGTAAAATATTTACTTTGCCTGGCAGGTTTTACCATTTGCATCAAAGATAAATCAGAAAATGTTGTATGTTTTTGTAAAACACCTCGATCAGATTGCAATAGATCAAACCTAAATGAAAAAAAATACATTTATAGTAAAATCGAAAAAAATCTTACTTTTCATTATCATTGATGAAATGTTGATCGACAACATGTACTGGTGATTGATGAATTGAAAAACCACTACTTGGAACAGAAGGTGATTGATTCACATTAACATGTCTGTAAATAAAATTTCGTAGCTGTAATTCTGGACAAGACAACTTACGAATATATATTTGGATGACTAAATACAGAAGTTGGTAAAAGATGGTTTTGTGCAGCCAAATCGACATCGTAATGAATTAATCGTTGCTGTTGCTGTGCACCCCTATAAATTTTAGTAAAAATTATCATATATGGTATATTAAAGTACCAGGACTGAAACCAACAGAATACTAAAAATCTCGCATACAAAATACATCAAGGTATAAAGCAAAATATTGAAAAAATTCATTTATCAAGAAGTGGTGTGTTATGAGACTTGTATGAACTAGAAATGGTCGCCTGTCTTTTCATTAATACATAACAAAGAAACCAAATCAATTCATACGTACTCACATGTAGTTATTTCTCACCAAAAAACCTACTTTAGGAATACAATACCTGTTGTTTTCATTTTCAAGATATTCAATATTCGCAACTACTGAATTTAGAAGTTGAATAGCTTGATCTGTAGTTGTTGGAAGAGGAACAGCAGATGCTGATTGAATATTGTACCTTGATGAACTACCACCACTAATAAAAGATTTTCTTGATGAGATAGATTAAGCTTCTTCTACTTACTCATTAGACGAAAGATTAGAGTTATTTGATAAAGAAACATTCAATATGGAATTCGATAAGGTTGACATACTATCAATAGACATAGATGAAGAACGAATACTATAAATGAAAAGAAAATGTCCTTCATTAGTAAAACTGTACTCGAAATTCATTATTCTTCTGACAAGATAATCTAGGAAAATGAACATTGAAAAATTATACTCAATATCGCGAATTGCATATGCGCTTTTACAGTGAAGAGGACGCTCAAGAAGAATGAATAAAAGTATAGAGAAATCATAGAAAGTTTCTCAAAAACAAAAACAAATTTAAGCCAAGGAAATACTTCCTGTATTTCTATTTGTATGTACAAACCACTTTTGAGAACAATAAAATAAATTTCAAACCTGAATAATTGATTGCGAGACGTGTTCACCACTTTGTCTTTCATTACAGTACGATCAAAGGGCCAAATTCCAGTTCGAGTAAAGCCTGCAACAACTTGACGAGGAGTAAATGCCACATTGTACAACTTATTTAATAATGTTGGATGGTCAATTTTGCGGATCGTTTTTCGATGAGTTCGTTCAAAATATGATGATACGATTTTTTTCCAAGATGTTTTCACTAGAGTAAAAATGCAAAGAAAAACATGCCGAGAAGTTTTAAAAGAAAACAACTTATCCGAAGGTGACCAAGTCCAACGGTTGCAAACCGTGAGTACAATGTGGTGGTAAACAAACAATGATAATATCATTTTGTCTAGCTGCTTCTATAACCTTTACAGTAAAATGACAATTATGGCCGTCCAATACAAGCAAAACAGGACGAGGTACTGATTGTATTTCCATCAGGAAAACATTGATAAACCAAAATGCAAAAACTTCATCATTTATCCAACCATTATCTGTACAACAGTATGCTGAACGAGCAGGCCCACCTTCTGTCCACTGGTTATTGACATGTTTTGCTGCACACACTGTAAGTGGTGGTAAAACATCACCTTTGGCATTGACAGCTTTGATTATTGTTGTAAATGACTTTCCTGTACCACCGTTTTCTTCGTATTTAATTTTTGTATCAGATGGTACCAATACTAATTCACCTGAAATATGAAAATAAGTTTTAGCAAAAAATGTAGTCTTGATAGTTTATGCTCCATGCCATTTCATGAGCAGAAAATAAACAAAGTGTGAGATAATAATTGGTCATCTTAGAAAAGTAAATTTTGTCACTGAAAGCTAGTTCAGGAGGATCTCATTAATCCTTTCTAATTCGTACGATGCTCGTGCAAAATACTAAGCTTCACCTATTTGCCTGTTCATCCCGATACATTAGCGGCAAATGTGTCATTCATAATCTTGATCTTTGTATTTACTTGCATTCTTATTTACGCTAGGTGATACCAGACTCATGTATCGCTATGGCAGTGATGAGTGAAACCAATACTTTTCGATACTGGTCCTTGCTCTAGTTCCATTTCCGAAATAAAGCGCAGTTGGTTCCGACAGATTAATAGCAAGATACATTCTTCGTCCTCATCTCTATCAGGAAAGAATTAGTCCCCACTCTAGTGACAAAAAAGATTGAATTCGTCCTGGTCTCGATCTTTCTGAAATCGGACCAGGACCATATTGTTTATATGTGTGCTATACTCTAAAACGAATCTAAAGTGTCCTAAATTAAAAATAAAACTTACGTTGTGTATCATCATTGAAACCACATTCGTCTACGTTATATATTTGAGCTGGTTTGTCGAATAAATTATGTGATTGCATAACATTAAAAAGAGTATCGAACCAGCCACTACGAACTGTTTCTGTAAATCCATCCTTTCGACAACGTTCCAATTTTTGCTCTTTGATAAACTTTATTTTGTTTTTGTTTCGAAGAAGAAAATCATGAAACCAATGACGTCCTAATGATTCTAGTAAAAAAAAGAAAATTATTTCTATAATATTTCAACTTGTTCTACAGGAAGCTCTAAAAGGTCTGATACCTTCCTTATAGAGGTGGTTTGTACCCAATCTACTAACTTTTTCTTTTAAGTTTTTGTCTTGAAACAAGGGAAGATTCTTCTATTATCGAGCAAACTAATGGCTCAAAGACTAAAGATTAGTCACCATATAAATAAAAATAAATTATTGTGTTAGGACTCGAGGAAAACACATGCAAACGGGGATACACAAGTATTTAGTCAAAATCAACTTACGTGATTTTTGTTTAAGTGTTTCAACATACTCTTCACTAATTTTCCTAACTTTTCTTTTTGTTAAACGAAAGCCTGTTCGTTCTAGATCCAATAACAGTTGAACTAAATAATCTTCATCATTTCTCTTGAGCAAATAAGGTCGGCCAGATCCGATGTTCATTGCTGGTCGACGTTTATGGTTACGGATAGTACTTTCTGGTACACCATAGAATTTAGCTGCATCCAGCGATGACATTGATCCAGATGAGTAGGCTTGAATTGCCTGTTGAAGGCTTTCGGAAGAATATTTTTGATGAGATCGTACCATTTGAAATTTGAGAATTGATTGACTTTTTTTATAGACGTAAATAAGCAGAAAGTAAAATAAATGATATTCTCAAAAATTTAATATATATAATTTATCTAATGATAGACAAAATGTACTGATTATATTCTTAATTCAATATGTGAACCTTGCATATATCAGACACATTGCATTCATTTGTAAAAAAAAAATTCACGACGTATCCCGTCGAGTATACAAGAGTAAAATATGTCAACCGTCCGTCAAATTTGACATATATAAATAAGAACTACTATCCATTTCAAAATAGAAGGCGAGTGATTGTAAGATGAATAACTCATGAACGCGATGAGATATTGCGAAACGGTTTTCGCCAGCTTATAGATGAGTCTGAGGGACGTCGATCTATGAAAGAAGAAAATTTTTCGTACGAGTTTCTAGCTAGTTTTCACGTGGATCTTTGGAAAACTACGATCATTTTTAGGGATCCAACATTAGATTTTCATTTTTAACACATGTATTCCATAGAGAAAACTGTTCTCTTTCGAACTACGCCAAGTCGGAGTTTCTAACTTGTTCCGTTCAGGAGTTGTAGAGGTTCTCCAGAAACCTCCGATTTCGGCCAATTGCCCTTGGATCAGTCAGAAATAGATCTAGAGAGGGGGTTT